TCCACGCCGAACTGCTAACCCGCCTTGCAGTCTCGACCGTCCCGCCGATGACGACGAGCTTCATGCCGTCCACGACGGACCCGCCGCTCACGAGCGGCTGGACTAGCGAGCGCAGCGCGTCCATTGCTTCTTATGCTTCTTCTTCCTATGTGCGGTGGTGGTGAAGGTGGTGGTGGTCAAGTGTATGTGTGTGGCGAGTGAAGTGGATGTGGGCGTAATGTGGGTGTGGACGTAGATGGGTGTAGAGAGAGAGAGAGGTGGGTGTAGGTGGGCGTCGCAGGGGCGAAAGTGGACGCGCGTCCGTACGTATGTAAAGCCACCGCTGAGTCCCTTTCGTCGTCGTCCGGTCGCAAGGTACTTGTCTTCCCCTCTTGTCACCGTTCTTGACCTTCTTCTTGAAATCCTAGTCCCAGTCCCGGTAGTCCTAGTCCAAGTAGTCGAGTCTTGAAGTGTACACGCAAGCTGTTTCCTCAGAAGCGTAGCAGGTCACACCTGAATCATGAATCTAAATCCGGCCTTCCGCTTCGGTCCTCGTCCCAGTCATACCGCGTCACCGTCATCGGGTCCGCCAATCGCATCTAATTTCCTCACTTTCGCCTGCCAATCACAGATTGATACGCGCGCGATGTAAGCGATATAACCCGTATCCCATTCGAGCCATTTTCGAGACGAATTCGGGCCTCGACTCGGAGATAAGTACAGTACAGGTCGGCCCGCCCTCCGCCGTCGGCGTTGTGGACGCCACCGTCAACTGATTCTGTGGGTGGTGGCGGGACGCCGCATGGCGCCCTCCCATTCATCGCGGGAGCCTGAGGGCACTATATCACCACTACGTGTGTCTACGTGTGTATGCCTATACAAGTCCCGGGTGCGGGTTAGTACTTGCGGAGATCGCTCGAACGTTCCTAATTTCGTTGCCGCGCGCCTCCCACATTCCCCAGACACGGACACGGACTGAGGCTTAGGCGCCTTGCCTCACGACACCCGCGACATGTACACCTCCGTCCTCCGTCCGCCGTCCCGGTCTTACTTACTCATCTATTCATCTATTCGTCTCCAGCTGGCATAATCGGATTCATCTCCAAAGGTCACAACCTCCGAACCTGTCGCCCGTCCGGGTCAAGGATACGCCTCCGTCTTCCATCCGTTCACCTGGGAAACAGACGCATCCATCCGTGCGTTCGGCCTATTCACGTTCATCTGACTTCACTTCACTTCGATCTACTTCGATCTACTATGTCACTTCACTTCACTCCACTTGTTCCCGTTCATCTCCATCGCAAACCTAATCTGACTTGTGCTGCTCTGAATGTCTCCCAGGTCTCCGAATCTCAGATCCCCTCCTCTCATATCATCAGAATTCGCCTACCCCGCGTACCAAGCGCTGTCTTCGTATCTTGTTTATCAGAGCGAACGGCCGCCTCGTGGATATCGTCCCGCATCCGGATGTTTTCCAACCCGTTCAAGTTGCGGGACCGGGACCGCACTCAACAGCGATACCATCCCGCATTCCCAAATGCAGGTACCCACGGGTACATCTGTGAATCGATATCGCGTTTGCCTAAATTCGGAGACACTGATGTTTTCGCCTAAATACTGGTCCGTTTGCCTTAATCTAATAATTCGTTTCCTGCGTTACGGTTTGCCTAAAATCCGAATCCGAATCCGAATCCGAATCCAGGGAAAGCAATACGTGGACTAGAAACAGAACTCTCCCCTTGCTTCCGTCCTTCCGTCCTTCCATTCGCCAATGCACGGAATGAAATTTCAAATCGGAGTGGTACAACCTCAATGCATATCGTCCCGCGACTACGTATACTATCCCACTGCTAAAATGCGCAAAAATGAATCTGAATCTCCTGGACGTTCGGCCGCATGTTCATCTCACTTCACTTCGATCTCAAACCAAGATCAAACTATCTCATCTCATCTCCTCTCACATATCAAGGCTCCATTTCGTCTTTCCCCCACACAACGGAGAATCTCCCAAGATTAGATTCTGGCCTCCAAGTTGGCCAGCCTACCCCGCGTACCAACAATTGCAACCTCTTCCCCAACTTGAAGTGCTGTTAATGCTAATGCTTCCATTCTTTCTCTTTCGATACCGTCCACCCTGCCGTTGGCTCTGATATATATCAGCGAGAATAAAGAGTAAGCCGCCCCGCATCCGGATGATTTCCAACCACACCTAACACTGATCTTGCCCAATTACAGGTGGGCACTGGCATATCTGGGGCGTTTTCCCAAATGCAAGCCCAGATCCAATTGCAACTCCGAATCCGAACGCGCTGCCTCCTCCTCCACTTCCGACTTCCGACTCAACAGGCCCGCGTTCGATATTTTGATTCAGAGTCTCCGTGACGCGACCATCCCAACTGCGCAAAAATGTACGCACAATCAAAAGTCTCCTTAAGGTCATTCCATCCATCTGTTCTATTCTCAATGTCATATCTGCGCCAGTTCATTGTACTTATCACCAATTTCCTTCTGCATCTGCATTCCTTTGGGCACCCCTCTTTCCTCTTTCCTTGCGCACCCAGACGCGATGATTGATATCCACGAGGCGCGTATGCGTATGATAGCAGAGTCAGAGTCCACGGCACGGTGGACGGCATCGAGTCGGATATCCAGGGGAACTTGGGAATGGATTATGGAAGCATTGGCAGCGCGCTGCGCTTGTCAAGTACGCACTGGCAGGGTAGGCGACGACAGATTCTTTGAAGAATCTCAGATTGAGTATGCGGATGTTAAGTTCCAACTGCTGCGGGACTGCATTCTCCCTCCTCCCTCCTCCTCCCTCCTCCTCTGGGTTCCCCTCAATATCAGGATTGAACATATGTGAAGTTCAACACCCGCCAATAGCTCGCGCTGGACCTTGTCTGCAATTCCAACGATCTTCCACTCCTTCAACTCCTGGATGTCGATGCCGTTGACTCTGATATCATACATATTACACACAGTAAGGCGCCTCGTGGATATCGTCCCGCAGACGGATGTTTTACGACCATCGCGGGTCCTTCTCCCTTCTCCCTTCTCCCTTCTTCCTTACAGGTTCATTATCAATCAATATTGAATTTGACTACCATCCGACACTCGATTTACAGGTTCAACATGTCTGACGATCGTCCCACACCATCGCGGCCCCCGGGCCCAAACGCATCTCAAATCAGTACTTCGGTTCTGTTCGACCACTTAACAGCCAACGCCTACGTCCCGCTCCCGCCGCCGCGCATCCCATGTTGAAATTACTGTACATACATTACCTCTATAGAATCAACTGCTGTCCGCTCCGCTATCGCGGCCCCGAATCTGGACGTCTCGGGCTCATTATGTAATATCCGACGGGCAACATCTGCAACTCCGGATCCGCAAATGTTGACTATCCGCAGGCTGTGCTGTCGTTGCTGCGTACTGCGTTGCTGCGTGCCCACAATCAAGAACCCTCAAAGCCAATCAAGAATTTCATTTGCCAACGCGGGAGTGCCGAGCCTAACTGTGGTGCAACTGCGCGGGTCTACAGTCACGGTCAAGGACCCTCAACTTTAAATCATTCGCCAGCAGCATCCTTGATTTTTGACTCGAAGTCCTGCCTCTTAGGCTGATCGAATTTCAACATCAACAGATGCATCTCTGTAACCTCGAGGACAACAGCTCTGATTACTCGATTTGTTTCTGGGCCCTCCCTTCCCACCCGGGCAGCCTGAGCTCTGCGTCTTTCTCGTTCTGTCCTCGTGTCTGGCTTTTGGCGCGCGTCTATGTATGTGTTGGCCGACGCGCGTGTTGGCCGACGCGCACGCCTACTCTAGTCAGCGGAGGGACCCACCGGCAGACCGTTTGGAAACCGTTGGGAGCTGGTTGAGGGCTGTTTTTAAAAACGCAAAACGCCCGTGTACACACCCACGCCCACGCACGAACGTGCCCTCGGGCAGGACTGGAGATTCCACGAACGACTTGATCGAAAGCCGCTGGTTGAGATTCTCTTCCGCGAAGAAGCCGGGACCAAACTTAAAAATCGATATTCGAACCGCAACTGCCTCGCATATCGATGTCCAATTTCAACAAAGCAGGTACAATTAAACCCGACGTCCCACTGGCATGATTCGAAGGTTCAGATTAAATTTCAACTTCAACTCCGCCCCACCCTGATTCAGCAGTCCAAACGCTGTTGCACTCCACGGCCCGGAAAGCTGTAGACCTCGCCTCTTCACACACACCTTCTGTCTGATAGTATCACCGCTGATAAACCTTGACTGACCATGTCTTAGGCGCGTGCCTCTTTCCTACAGCTCCCCGGAGGCAATAATCGACGTCCGGTTCAACGTGATTCCGGACACCAAAGCTGTCGAGTTGCGCGCATACCCACGCGCCCACGGAGGGCGGTGTCAATAATCAGATTCCAGAAAACTGCGAACAGCTGTATCAATCAACTTCCAGGCGGCTGCAAGTCAACCGCGAGCTCCACTTCAAGCTACATACGTTCAATCGTATCCAAATAATCCGTCACATCCGTTCGTTCGAACTGGAAATAAATCCCCCCCTTTAACTAATCCGGAGTCAATGTCAATGAAATCCAAATCCCATGGTTCAAGGGTCGAAGACAGTCTGTCAAAGTCACACCTGTTTCCCGATTTCAACAAAAACCAAACCGTATGACCACGAACGCAAACGCGACACAAATGACAGTGTACGTGCGCAGACTCTGATGGATCACCTCGGCGATCTCCTGGACTGAATCCGGTTCCGCCAATAAATCCAACCACAGATCCGGACACCAGGGAGGTACAAGCCGTGCCAATCAACGGACCTCACCGTCAACCATGCAGGACACGAGGCACGAGGCGGCGTCTCGGCGTCTCTCTGAGTCTCTCTCTCTCTCCCGAATAATCAAATCCCAATTAAATTAACCTACATTATGCGCTGGTCATTAGCGACACGTTCGATTCACCAAAGATGATAGTGGCTTGAGTACAGGAAGCAAAAAATCACCGATGTAGTCGTCATGTCTCCGGTGGGGCTCGAACCCACGTCTCTCCTTTAAAGAACTGCTAATGTCCGTACTTTGAAAGAGCACTTGACCTCTAAGCTACAAAGACCTTCCACACTTAAACAAAACTGTAAGTAGAACACGTATACAATATGTATCTCCAACTTCGACCGCGTATACTCTTGCGATCCAGCGATATCGATGCCCGAGAGCTCGATTGACCAAAAAAATCAAAGGGTGGTGTACGACTTTTGACAGATTGCTTGTGATGCTTGTACAAGCATCACAAGGTCGCAAGCTCCCGCCAAATTTTCGCAAGGTCGCAAGGTCGCAAACTGAGAGCCTTTTTCGCAAGGTCATTATTTTTTCCCAAAAACTTTTTTTTCAGTGATTGATCTGGGCGTTATGTGCAGTTTCACACGGGCACTTTTTTGAGTTTTCACGGTTTTTTTGCTTGCGAGCTTGTGGACAAGCTCACAAGCCCCACAAGGCCGCAAGATTTTTGTCAAATTGCTGATGCATCAAACATTGTCATATCTCGCGCGACTCTGGGTCTCTCTCTCTCCCTCTCCCTCTCTCCCTCTCTCCCTCTCTCCCTCTCTCGTATTATTGCAATTTGCAAAAATAATGTCCACTCTGTTTCTTCAGAGAAAAAAAGTTTTACATAGTTTGGGAGGCCGTTGTGCGAGGGTTCAAACCCGGCGCAGGGCACCTTTTTTCATCCCACACGGTAGCAACTGAGGCCCTATAACCATATCTGGCTATTGCCAATGTGAAACGAAGGTGAAAGGAAAGGAGCTATTGAGCCAGAAATGTCACTGCAGCCCGGGAAAAGGTGCCCACTGCCGGTTTTGAACCCTCGCACAAGGGACCCCGAACTAAATCTTTTTTTTTCCAAAAAAAGCGAACGGACATTATTTTTGAAAATTGCAATAAATTCTGACCTCAAATCAGCTATCATGGGCTCGACATTCGATTCGCCGGAAAAATAACTTAGAAGACAGCGACCCGACTCCCGAGTCCCGGACTTGCAGTAAGTGAAAAACACATGCACACGGATCCATGTCTCCGGTAGGGTTCGAACCCACACCCCGTCCATAACTTCGAACGCATGTTGTTACTGGGAGGAAGCGCTATGCCGTTAAGCCACGGAGACCTTGACAATGGGAAAAAGCTAGTAATTTCGGGACAAGTTTCTCCGACAGCCTGTGAGATGATTTACGAAGATTTGCGAAGACCAGTACTAGTGGGTGGAGTCCTGAGAGGAACAAGGCTCGATGGATTGTACTATCTAACACGCAATCTGAGCTACCATCAGAAAAAAGAGCGCTCTCCAAGACCAAATCCCCGCTGGGATTCGAACCCACATCGCTCGCAAATATTCGTTGCAGCTCGCCACGGCTTGGGAGTGATTTACCATTAATCCACGGGGACATGATGGACAGGGAGATTGAAGGCTGACCTCGACGGACAATGTGGGACACGAGTCGGTCCGGTCCGAGCTATATTAAGCATGACCGTGCAAACAGAGCCCTTGATACAATTATATACTACGGCGGAAAGGTGCACATTCGAGCCGATGAGTTACCTTCATAATTGGTTAATGAACCAAAAGTTGAACATGCTGTGCCAGAACACTAGCGTCCTCGGCGTTTCTACGGCCGCGCTGTGCAGAAAGCTCGCTGCATGTCAGTCTCGAGTCCCAACCTACGACAATGATATTTCTCTCTGAATCCCCTCTGGGTTTTGAACCGGCCGAGGTTAAACAGCAATTTCAACCACGCTTAGTCATCATTTCGGCGTTCTCGGCGTTGTTCGATTCATACATCTGACAGCTTGCATACCGATTCCTGTGAATGCCGCTTTATAGCAGTAGAATATCCCAGCCGTTCCAAATACGTCGACAGTGTACCTTTCACCGTGACAGTATCGGGCGCTGCGGCCCGCGATGCTACCTCCGATTGCCGTCCGGGTGTGTTTGACAGATCGGCTTTGTGGAGGTTCTTCTGGGCCGCGACAGAAGGACGCATGGACCGTCCCCATTCATCTTTGTGCGCCGGGCCGTCACAACTTCTACGACCCTAGCTTGCTTCGGGTGCGGAGATATCACGAATGTACATTGCCTTTCATCGTGCCCGGCTTGAATATTCAAAATACCCGCAAAAAGGGACCGAGCCCGAACACGCCCACTCCGTGTCCGCTGTCCGCCCTTCCTCTCCCCCGGCGGCCTTATTTATCAGTCACGACCACAGCCTTCGAAGCCGCCTCCGTGTCAAATATACCCTCCAGTCCCTGTGCATCGTCCTTCCGTCCGGTTATCACCTTCACTTTTCCATCCAGCCGAATTCCGCCTGGTGACTACCGAACTTTTGATTCATCTTCCCCCTTGCTCCGATGCGATCACGGCCCCCCACTCTTTCTGGGAAGCCAGCGCAGAGCTACATAATCAGAATCATTTTGACGCAAACAACGTCAATGTCTTTCTGTACCTTCCCGCTGCCGTTGATACACGGCCGCCTCGTGGATATCGCCCCCAATTCGGATGTTCTGATGGGAATACACTTAACAGCTAAAGCCTAAATCCGAGGACAAATCAATCCCGCTCCACGCCAAGTGGTTGAGTGACGGTTGGAGAGTTGCCCTCAGGCGTCTGATAGGCTTCGCATTTAGCTCGCGGTCGGGTATACAGCTCCTCCGGTCACAATAATCGGCCACGCTAAGATAATTCCGGCCGACGACATCTTTCGCGCTGTCGTGTAAAGCTGCACACGCGCCTACTCACGGCGGCGACGGACGGGACTAATGATCAACTTCTCCTGAACCGCCACCTATACGTACTGTTGTTTTCAACTCACGCGCCACGGAAGTTTCGCTAACACACGGGAACCAGAGGGGCTGAGGAGAACTACTTAGTTGGCACATAATATGTTCTCGCAGGATATAATGAAATCCGATCCAACCTCAGACGGTTCAGATCCTCGGAACCCTATGTCGCGTTGGGTACATTGTCTCCTAGTTGGAAGGTTGCCTCCAGATTTGGCCGCCTCAGCAACAAAGCGAAATTTGTAATAAAATGCCTCGGAATGAAGTCGGTTAAACTGTTGAGTAGATCCCTGGAATTCAAAATCCAGAGTTATCTGAACACGACCGCCACTAGGCTTGCATACCTCTGGTTGGAGAGTATACACCGCATTTATATACATAATACTGAGGTGGACGCTGTCTTTTTTATTTATTTTTCGCACTGATGAGTCCAAGGTGAATTTCGGTTCAACCATTCAACTTCGGCTGGGCATTTCTCCGAGCCAGTTTAGCATTTTCCCGCTTTCTACCCCACCCGCTAGTTGAGAGCGAAAAAAGAAAGAAATCCAAAAGCAGAGGCATGTGTCCGTGTCCGTTTGGGAGTTGGAAAGTCCGGGATCAAAAGTCCGCCGATCAGGTCTGGCCGCGCCGGCCAGACTTTTGATGTGATCGAAATACGTCGGAGTTTTAATATCGATCGTGTGAGACAGCACCTGTCAATAAACGCGTCGCGTCCTGTCGCGTCCTTGCCATGGGGCTTTACGGGACTTTCCTCTGGACCTTGAGTCCTGGAGTCAAGGTACCCATAAAATGTCCTTTGCTGAATGAGGGACAACAAATATCAACTAAGGCTCCAACCATTTCCGTGTATAAACAGTTTCAAACGGTTTTAACCGTTTCCATTTCCATTTAATTTGACCTGGGCAGCAAACTGTTTGTAAACTGTTTCAAACGGTTTAAAGGGTTACTTGCCGTGGCATCGCAGAACCGGGATATCTGACACAATTCCGGACAATATATGCCTTCGGTGGGTGCCACTGATGTTGCTTTTATGATTAATTCATATCTGAGGAGCAAGCGAAAGGTCTGCGGGCTGATGTTGAAAATCCAGCCCAGCAATCAGTGCCCTTAAAATGTCTTAAAATGACCGGCGACCCAACTGGAACGTCGAAGCCTCAGAGTGGACCAAAATTGAGTTCAACTTGAATGTGGAAAGTTGTAAAGCAAGATGTAGATACTCACTAGTCATTCGAAGACGGTTCAAACATGACCAATTTACCCTAACCACGTTCAGCCTGGACTCAGCGCGGGGCCACAGCTGGCTTCGGACTGATACCAAGATCCATGATTGACGGCTGCCTTCAATGGGTTCGATTACACGTGGAACATTGCTCAGAATGTACCCCGAGCACACAGAACTGCGAAAAGGGTCGGTGGAAGGTCACACAAGTGAGTGCGCGGTAGCCTGTACCTGGTTTGATTGCCCCGCCCTGAAAAATACCATTTTAAACGGTTTTAAACTGTTTAAAACTGTTTTAAAACCGTTTCCGTTTAATTTGAGGGGATCCTTACACGAAAACTAAATGGTTGGAGCCTTAATATTATCAACCACTAGCAGTTACCCGTGTCGTTGCCACGGATTGGTAATAAGTTGCAGGATATCAGATTTCAAGTCTTGAAAACGGTTGAAAAACCTGAAGGATGCCGCTCGTCGCCAACATCCGGTTGGCTCCTCACGGCCTCATATACTGTGACACGGTTAGAACTTCAACTAATTACTGCCTTCATCGTGTCAATGTGGTTGCACATCCCTGCCGCAGATAAATCCTTACTTTCTTTTGTTGAGAGCCAGCTGTAATTGTCTCTGCCGACTGCCTTCATGGTGTGACTTCTCCCACGTTTCCCATCTGAAATTCGAACTGTAGACTTACTGATAGCTTCTACTACTTAAGTTTAGTACCATTTTTTGTTTCCGCATCAATCAAACGGTTCTCAAACTACAGGCGTAGTCTTCATGGTGCCATTGTGTTCAGATAACTCGGTCGAACGAAGTCGTATTATCCTCATCAGCCTCCCTGTCCACATCGAAGCGGAGCCTTCATCCGGATGTCTGGAGCATTGAAACTTTGCTTACTCAATGTTCGACTCAGCCTCTCTCGGCCTTCATTCTTGTTTCTGCTGGCGCATAGAATTTAGTGATCTTGAGATTCTTTACCTTCAAAACAGACACCGGGTAAAGTCTAAACGGCTACACAATATACGACTGGCCAGGAACGAAGCCGAAACAGCACCCAAGTTGAAAAGCAACATCTCGACAACGTGTGGAGCCAGAATGAACCATCGGAACCAACCGGGCACCGGTTGACCGGTTGAACCCGTAAGCTCCACCTCGCTCCACTTTGACGTTTGTCGAGACACCCCACGTCTTTTCTTATATAGATACAACAACCATATGTGTGCACTTTTGGAGTGCGAGTCAGACTAGTCAGTCACTATACCGTCACAAGTGTCTGTCTGTGTTACATTGATTTCGACCGCATTTTATGGTTTCTGCGATTTCGGCGGCGCAAGCTGGTCATCCCAATAATGCAATCAGCCGGGATCCCAGCACTGACTGACTGCCGCGGCGGCCAGAGGGTGAATTTACCTGGAATGGTCGTAGTTTGACAAATGTTAACCTCAGCGGACAAGTGGGTGCCCCCTTAGATGGATTGTGAACGCATATTGCGAAGTTCCCAGGGATGTTGCACAAAAATGACTTCAAGCACCCCTCGGCCGCGTTTGATGCCAATGGTCTGCCGATCAGCCGTGGCGATCGTCCCCGGACTTTTGATCCCGGACTTTCCAACTCCCAAACTTTATGATGTGTCCAAAGATGTGTCTATCCTTGTCTATCTCGAAGGTTTCGGAGTCCGAGGAGCGGCTTTGGATTGCTCTTGGGGCTATCAGTTTTGTTCGGTAAGCGTCGCCGCCGTTCGGCTCTCTTGCCGATCTGATTCTTCGACCACGATGACTGGCTCTCTTCCTCTCTCCTTCACTTCTTTCCGAGAACGACTGCGAAATCGATACCGAAGATCTGCATCGCAATGGCTCCCGCGACTTTCCACTACGTCGTGATTGGAGGCGGAACTGCTGGTCTCGCAGTGGCGACTCGATTGGCTGAGGACCCAGCGACCAGTGTGTGCGTCCTCGAGGCCGGTGAAGATGTTACCAAGGAGTTGAATCTCGTCGTTCCTGGTGCGCTCTTGTTTTCTGCTCGCATTCCTATCAGGTCGGTTATCTTTTCAAGGGTTTGCGTATAAGAATTGGAGGCAACCGAGGGTCGACTGGGGTTTCCGGTCGACTCCGCAGGTGAACGCCAAAAATCGTTCCCTCTATCTTCCAAGGTGTGGGTGTTTCTCGTTTTATTCGCCCTTGATTAAAACTCACATGACGCGGCAGGGGCAAATGCCTCGGCGGCAGTAGCATGGTACGGTTGCTGGTCGTTGCATAAGAAGGGGTATTCTATCTGACCGCCATACGAGATCAATCTCATGACTTTGGGGAGGTAAGCCGTTTGCTGCCGTTTGTTCCAACACGAGTTAATGGCCCAATATTCGATAGAGGACACGAGGCTGAATATAATGGTTGGT